GGACATGAGATCATAAAGTTTAACATCAGAAGGTGTAAATACAAGGTAAGGAAATCATGTCCTTAAAATTTACACTGCACACATGAAATTAAGGACGACATGTCCTTAACATTTACACTGCACATATGAAGTTAAGGACATGATGTCCTAAAGTTTAACAACAGAAGGCGCAAATACAAGACACTTTGTCCTTAATATTTACACAGCATTCATGAAGTTAAGGATACCATGTACTTAATATTTACACAGCACTCACGTCTAATACAAGGGTATTTTGTCTGGGAGGGTAAAAATTTATTAAATACTGGATAAAGAGTAAATACATTTTAAACAGTGATTAAAGAATAAAGATATCTCTAATTAGTGGCTAACTGTGCACTTCCCCCAAAATTCGGTTAGGTGGTTACAATTTGACCCAACAATACTTCACGAATTCTAAAATGCGGCAACACGATTATTATCAAAATCGAAGTCAAACTTTTCCCGTGTCATTATAAACATCTGAATTAGTTTACACTACCTCTTTGCTTAAAAAAAAGGGGCAAGTCAAGTAAGTAAGCAGTGATCTGAACCGAAGCACAAGCTTTGAAATAGAAAGAAAGATAGAAGGAAAGCTTAGGCTAGGGAGTAACTAGTTTCATCCTCAAAAGTGAAATGAGAAATGCATGGCATAAAACTGGATAGTCTCTCTTTCTTCAATAAGAGTCTAGCAAAATCATCTTTACCTTGAGCCTATTAATATGAACTATCTGCTAACCTCATGTGGAGTATCTTTTATAGTCGAGTAAAGGGGAAAGTGAAATCGATTCCTGTGACATTTTGTTTTTGCAATTTTCAGAGAGATACCTTACCTTTTTTTTGGGTGAAATAACATGTAACCTTTACTCCCTCCGGTCCATAATAAGTGACCAATTTGCATTTTTATTTTGGTCCTAAATAAGTGTCCATTTATATAATCAAGAAAAAATTCAATTTCTTTTTCCAAAATTACCCTTATGTACGTATCCCTAAAAAGCCTTTTACTTTTCATATTAAATTATGCTGCAACATTTAATTAAGGGTAACTTAGTCACAATAACTATTTGTGTATAGAATTTAGTATCTCCCTAATGTGTGTGCCTAAGGCAAATTGGTCACTTATTGTGGACCGGAGGGAATAACATTTTGAAAGACGGAGGGACCTAAGCGCGCCAAATCAAGATTAGACAGTAAATTTCAAATAACCGAATGGTTAATGAAAAGAAAAAGGATCTATCTATACCTCCCTTAATGGTTTGAACACCACTGTTGTAATGGGTGGAAACCATGGATATAAATGCCTTGATGATGGAAAAGGCATTGCCTTTGCAAGAGAGAAGATGTGTCCAGGTGACCCTACTATAGTCATCTACAATGGTCAAAAAATATCTGAAACCATTGTAGGTGGCAGTATGATATGGGCCCCAAAGATCAATATGAACAAGTTCAAAAGGCCTTGAAGAATGAGTAATGCTAGCAGGAAATGAATTCCTTTGTTGTCTAGCCATGGGGCAAATTGGACAGACAAAAGATTGTTTAGAGGAAAATTTACAAGACAGATGTGGGATAGATATCATTTTAACAAAAGGAATATGTCCCATCCTTTGATGCCACAAAACATCATTTTTATTAATGGAAGTAGAAGTACAAGAAGTAGGTAACACTGAACTATCAATAACAGGGGAAAATGAAACAGGACTAATGACAGAATGAAAAGAACTATCACTAGATTTTACATCAGAACAAGAAACAGAAATAAAATCAGACTTGCTAGAACTCATATGTAGAATGTATAGGCCATGCTCAACTCTACCAATTTCCAATGGCCTCTTCAGAGAAACGCCCTGTAGGAACAAGGAAATAGTAGTGAGAATAGCATAACAACTGAGTTGAGTAAGAAGTTGATGTATAGAGATTAAATTGAATTGAAAGGAAGGTATCAAAAGTACATTATTCAGAATGATAGTAGAAGACAGTGATAGGCAGCCTATAGAGGTAACTTTAACTTTGTATCCATTTGGTAATGTAATAAGAGAAGGTGTGACTAAAGGTTGTATATTGTGAAGTAGGTGTTTGTGAGGGGTCATGTGACTAGTGGCCCCGGAATCCAAAATCCAAGAAAGTGAATCTACTTTAGAAGCATTAGATGCAAATGAACCATCAGAATTAAAAACAGTGTTGTTTACCAAACCTGCAAAATTGGCATAAATAGTAGATGATGATGTTGGAGCAGAAGATGGGAGTTGGGCCTGCTGAAAAGTGACAGAATATGAGCATATTGTTCCTTCGAAAAACCATGTGGAGCATCAACAGCTTGTTGAGGATCAGAAAGAGGAGGAGTCTCAGGGTTGAATCCACATGTACAGAAGTTGCGACTCTTTTATTCTTAGTGAACTTAAAATCAGAGGGGAATCCATGGAGCTTGTAACACTTGTCTATGGTGTGCCCAAACTTCTTACAGTATTTGCAGAAGATCATGGATTTCTTAGGATCAAAGTTCACCCTTTGAGAATAATTTCTGGAATTGTTAACTTGAGAGGGACCATTCTGAGGAGCAGGAGAATTGGCTAGGAATGAGGCTGAATCAGAAGAGAACATAGGAGAGTCAGATTTGATCTCTCTTTGCTTTTCATCTCTGATCAGAAAGGAGTATGCCTTTGCAACTGATGGTACTGGACTCATCATCAGAATGTTGCTTCACACAGTAGCATATGTCTCATTCAATCCAGATAAGAATTGAACAAGTTGATGTCCCTCAATGAACTCAGGCAAGGCACTACAAGTGCAAGGCCTACCAAAAGTACAGTTGCCAATTTCATCCCAATAGCCCTTCAACTTTGTAAAATACGTAGCTATATCAGAAGATCCCTATGTAGTGGATGTTATGACTCTTTGAATACTATAGTATTGAGATATATTTGCAACACCATACCTCTCCTCTAGATTATCCCAAGCCTCCTTAGCATTTTTGTAATATAATATAGTCTTGGATATGTCTTTGGATAATGCGTTCATAATCCAAGCTTTAACCATGTTATTGCATCTCTCCCAATGAGGATAGAGTGCTGAGGTAGGTGCAGGTTTAGGTATAGAACCATTGATAACTTGGAGTTTATTTTTAGCTGAAAGTGAGATAATCATACTCTCTTTCCACTCTCCATATCCTATCCCAGCAAAAGGAACAGAAACTAACACTCTACCCGGAGTATCAGAAGGGTGAAGGTATAAGGGATGAAAAGGATCGAGGTTAGGGTTTGAATTTGTAGTCGGAAGTTAGGTACAACAGGCGTTTGAGAATCGATAGCCATGATTATGAAATTACCATAAGAAAGGAGCAATCACACAAAATATGTATCAAAATGTGCAAAATTAGAGAAGAAATATCACCAGTTGCGCGAAAAAAAACCCTAAAATTGAGTTACTGTCGCGAAGCTTGAAATTCCAAATGAACTTTGCATCATCGGCACAATTGAAGACGAAGTCGAAATCAATACTGAAAATACCAGCTCCGACGAACAAAAAAACCATCAAAATTTGCAGAAATCGATGGTGCAAAAGATGATCGTTCTAGACCAGAAATTCGAACAACAAATCCGTAGATCCTCCCGAAATTAACCAGGTTTGCTCTGATACCATGTTAAGAACAAAGGAAATGGAAGGAATCAGACGGAATTGAACACAGGTGAAATCTAGAGTGTTCGAAGCAGAGGAGCGATACAGAGAAAGATATCTTTCATTTTTTTCTATGTGTATAAATCTCTCTACTAATTACAGTTCATTCACTATTTATAATCTGGGCCTATACAAAATATTACAACAAATAAATAAATGGGCCATATAGTATGGGCATGTACATAACAAGGAAAACAAAACTAAGTTGGGCCTTCATCTATTCTAACAGCTACTTCTTTCTTTTTCAATGTAAAGTAATTTTCACATGAATCCCAGGGCAATGCAAAAGCATTCTCAAACTTAAAATGTTTCTACAGCAGAAGTTTCCCCAATAACGAAGACGTACACGGTAAAAGAGGACATCGAGATGATGATCCATCAAAAGTTGAAACCAAAAATTGAAACGAAAACATCATCTGAAGCAGGGTGTGTTTGGTATGACGGAAAATGTTTTCTTAGAAAATATTTTCATGAAAAATGAGCGATTTTATCACTTATTTTCCCTTGTTTTGTTGGAGAGAAAAAAAATTCGAAAAATATTTTTTATTATTTGGTTAGAGAGTAGAAAATATTTTTAGGGAAATAATTTTTTATCCTAACCCTCCCCCCCCCACCCACCCACCCAAACCACACCAAATACCATAAGTTTTCAGGACTCTATTCTCTTCAAGAATTTAATTATTGTTCTAAAAATTCACACAAACCAGAGGAACTAATGTGCTGCTCTACTTTTTTAAATTTAATTATTCTTGAAATTTATGCTCCATAACTAAAAAGAAAATACTCTTATTTTGGTTGAAAAGGAAAGTGTTTTTTCTACAACATGAAGATAAAGTACTCATTTTGTTGAAATGAAAGAAAATACATTTTACTCCATCATTTTGTTGAAATGAAAGAAAATACTTTTTACTACATTATTTTGTTGAATAAAAGAAATATTGTTTCTACATCACGAAAAGAAAGTGTTTTTTGTTAAAATGAAAAAATATACTTTTTTTGTTGAAATGAAAAAAGGTACACTATATATAACATGAAAAGAAAGTACTAATAAAAATATTTCTATTTAGGATGGAGGTAGGGTGGGGTCAGGACAGGGTGGGGTGTAGGGGTGAGTTGATGGGGATGGAGAATAGGGTTGGGAAGGTTGAAAAGAAGTTTTGAAAAATATTCTTTCTCTTTATAGGGAAAACATTTTCTGGAAAATGAGTTCATGAAGAAGATGTTTCCAAAGCATTTAAACCAACCAAACATGAAAAAATTGAAAAATATTTTTCGAAAAATATTTTACTTCGTACCAAACACACCTGTACTTTTTAACTTTTAAATAAAGATAATCTGAACTTTTATTAAAGCATCAGCTAGTACCCAGAAATGTCGAATACAATCACTGTCGCAAATAAATAATCTACACAAATATAATCTATCTATAGTAAAATAAATGTGAAGGCAGTAAGAAATGCGATGACCCCTGGGCCTGGTAATACTTTTGGAGAGAAAGAATAAGCTATCTGGATGGTGAAATTACAGTTTGCTTGAGATATATTCTGATCCGTTACCATTGCCAGACCCTGAAAGCCACAACTGAAATCTCCTTGGTTCTGAGCTTGGTAATACATATTAAATGCATATGATGCATTACCATTTGCGTCCAAACCATTGCACGAAGAACCATATCCTAATGCTGTGCAATCTGAGAATGTGCAAGCATAGTTGATGTTATCTGCAAGTTTGCTCAAATCCTTGGCATCCGGATTAAGCATGCACCATTTCTTAGGTAAATATTCCACATTTTGTGCACCTACGAGAAACTTATCTTGTCCCTGACCTGTAAGGTCCATGGCAAACTTTGGCTGTCCATCATACCGGAAGATTCCCCAGTGGCGCTCAAAGTTACCAGGAGCAATACTTTTACCATCCTCGTCGATAAGCCCAAACAAGTAAACTTCAATATATCCAGGCCGAAGAGGCGTTCCCGTGTTGGCTGCAAGCCTGGATAACAGCCCCTTATAGAACCGATAAGCAAGATTGACATTGGCATTTTTGTCACCATCCGTGGGCCACCCAACTTCCCCAACAAGAATGGTCATGTTGCCAACACCTGCTGCCCTCAAAGCTGAAACTAGGGTATCAAAGTTGGCATCAAATACATTGGTGTATGTGACTCCTTTATCAAGAATGGGGTTACTGGCTCCATCAAAAAAGGCAAAGTCAACAGGGAAATGCTCATTAGCATAAAGACTCAGAAAGGGGTAAATGTTTACTGTGAAAGGTGCGTTGTTCTGGTTCATGAACTGCACCATCTGGGTCATTAGATCATTAATGTCCTGTCGGAATCTCCCAGCAGAGGGCACGGGATTGCTCTCTGGAGAGAAATAAACATCGGCATTTAGAGGTACAGTTGCTTTTATGGAGTTCCCAAGTCCTGCTTCATTTAAAGCATTTTGGATGTTCTGAAGTGCTGGGAAGGTCGTGTTAATAAAGGAGTTGTTGTACGATGTCAAGAAAGGCTCATTACCAACTGCAACATACCTGCAGAGATAAAGATACATAAATTTTGTACAGAAATCAGCAAGATGGAACTATATAAATGTTTGAAAATGCAGTTTCATACTTTTCTGCTGTGAACTGTCAGCAATATTTTATTGATAAAAGCGGGTGCAGAGCTGTTACAAAAAAACAGTAGCAATAAAATGCTTTTACACAATACAAACACAAATCTGTCTACGAAATGATCTCTTCAATTTTGAAGGACCATTTATTAGTGCTATATGGTCTTATATTTCATTACTTCAAATGACAGAACTAAAGATCCAGTACAGAATACAGATGACAAAAGATTCTCACATACAAAGGAAAGAAGTTAAAGTAAAGTTTGAAGAGTTATACCTACTGCAGAATTGAATGCATAGTTTGGCTTTTAAAGTCAGCTTCCTTTTATCATACTATCCAATACTGTATATACCATTTCAAAGCCATAAGACTTCCAGGTGATTGGATTTCATGGATGTATCTCACTATCTTTTTTTAATATAAGGAAAGCAGATGTTTTGTGAGAAATATATCTCACTATCTTCCTTCACTTTGTTTCCTAAAAGATAAGGATCAAGCTAATCATAACTACTTTTTTTCTTTTCTTTTTCTCCGGATTATTGAGAAATTCGCAAGAAGTGGCGCACATTTCGAAACTCGGCCACACCTCTAACTGTATCCACTTAAATAGCAGGCTTTTGTCTATGGCACGGTTTGAAACCAAACGCTAACCATAACTTCAACCAAGCACTAGCTTAATTTCAAAGTAAAACCCGACGTTTCAATTTGAAATAAAGTGAATACACAAAGAATAGACAGGAAGAGTCAAAATGATGATAGCAAATAAGAGAATAATCATACTGCTGCTCTTCAATAACCCTCCTGAACTTCTTTTTTTTTCCTCAAAACAAAAGATCCTCTGCTTAAAGATGAACCAGAAGTTGTACGTTCTCGCACTGGAACATGTTCTATAGACCACACAAAGGTTGGTTATTTGCAGCTATAAAGAAAAAAAAAAGAACTGAAAATGATTACTGAAGGAAACATATACTAGCAATGGTTCTCCCATTTGGATAACTACATTCCAAAAGGGAAAAGCAGTAACTTTTTAAGGAAATATTGGAAAAGAGAATATGCACTCAAAAGGACTTAACTCGTGAAAGAAATGCTTTGTGGCTAGTGCGGGCATAGGGGAAGGGTGGACGTATACCATATGCCCACCTTCCTCTTGCATTTCTACAAAGAGGTTGTTTCCATGCCCCGAACCTTGACCTATGAGTCACAAAAGTAGCAACTCTACTGTTGCATCAGGGGTCGCCCTCCTACGGAGAGAACAAAGAGATTGTTCCAACGCCTCAAACCCCAGACCTATGAGCCAAGAAAGGAGCAACTCTATGTTGCATCAAGGCTCACCCGACTTTGTAAGGGGAAGTAGATTCTTTATCCTTTATTGAGATTACTGCCTAAGTGTATCTGCAAAGCCATTTCCTTTAATACATATTCCTAACTAACAAGAAAGCATTTGAAGCAATTTAGAGCAAAGGGAATCATATCCCACATTTGCTTTACAAGCAACACTAAGCAGGAAGAGCACCAGAGAAGCCACTCCTTCAACAAATGCTCAATGTGGTGCAGATCTTCAATATAGATCATAAAACACATTAAATTAAATAACTTTTTCCTAAAGGAAGAAGCACAACAAGATTCGACTATTAAAATAAACAAGGCAACATAAAGTTTCCAGCTTAACAACAAGATAACTCATAACCAAGAGCAAACCAAGTGAATGAAAGAAAGGTGTAATGAATCATACTTGATATTGACACCTCCTTTGAAATTGTAGCGGGTGACATTGCGTCTGACCCAATCTTTAGCTCGATCATAATCATTCATAGCAGAAAGCTGATCATTGGGAATGGCAACCATAACTTCAATATCAGTACCAGCAAGAGCACTCATGGTTGATTGATCTGCATCAAACAGCTTCACCTTCCCAATACCATTGTCCTTCAGCAGCTGCACCACTGTTTTTGGTGGCAACTTGTGCATCGCCATTGTTCCCCAGTTCACTCCTAGCCCTTCCACCTCACTCAAATACAATAAACAAACCACAAATATCCCAACTTTCAACATCTTTGAAAATGGGTATTCAGAATCTTGAATATTCTAGCAAAGAATTAGAGAGGGAAAGAAGAGAAGCCCAGGAGAAAAGAATTGATTTTTATCAAGAAAAAAAGGGTATAAGAATCAAAATAGGGATATTATAGAACGTGGGTGGGAACCCAAAAACCTACTCAAATAGCCTGAAAACCACCACTTTCTGATATGAAACTGCCAAAAAAAAAAGAGTGTGAGCAGAACGTGGATAAAAACTCCTCTTGTTAGTATAGTTCTAGAAAGGAGGGAGAAGGAACATATTGAGTTTTATGCAGGGGTTATGGTTGATGAAGGTTTCTTTATTAAACCAAAAGACAGCTAAGAAAAAAGAACTGCTCAAGGTTATGGGTTGAGAAAAAGTTAAGACCTCTGCTTGGAACCCGTTTGGCCATAGGTTTTGTCAAATATATTTGAGATTTTTAGGCAAATACATATTTGGCCATAGATTTTATCTATATTTGATATATATTCAAAACCCAAATCACAAAATCAGCTCAAGAGCTGGTTTTGGCTCAAAATATCATTATTATATTTTTTAAAAATTGCTCCAAACTTTTGTATTTTATAAAAGAGTTCATCATTTATTATTTTGTAACAATGTTGCTTCGTCTTCGATCTGATAGTTTATTATGTAGTTCATTATAAAAATAACAATTTTGTATCAAATTTATTTATGTTCAGGACTATGGTTGCAATAATATAATGAATTTATTGATAAAAGGCACTGTTGAATTTTATAATAATTTTTAGAATTTTTGGGTATAAATCATGTTTCATATTTTTTTCAAACAAAAAAGTAAAATATGTTTAAATTAAAAGAAATTAGGTCGATTTCCGTGTCCGTGTTGGAAGTGGGGACTTGGGGTATATTTTCAAAAATTTATGTAAACTGATAAGGCCAACGCGTACAAAGATGGACGAACCAGAACTTCCGATGCTTTTCTTCATTGCGCGTCATATTTATAAGGGTAAATACTTATTTATACCAAACTATATTAATTCATTATGATTAATTAATTTCATTAGATGAGAATGTATATAATTTACCATGGTTAAATGATTGAAAGTATAATTGTTGTTAAATTATTTAAATTTAAAAATATATTTAAATTTTAAAATCTATAAGTTCTTGAAAGAAAAACTAACATGCAAAGGATGTAATCATAAACAGCAGCATACCCAAGATTTTGTATAAGTAATGACACACTTAAAAAAATAACAAATTAAAAATTGCTATAACACCAACTCGGGATAAACTATGTTTTCGGGAAAAGTTTGACGTGTAAAACGCTTAGAATATTATTAAATTTTTTTGTTAAGAAAATTTTTTATTTTAAATATTTTATTCTTAATAATAAATTTTTAATGAGCCACTATTGTGATTTATCTTCTTTTTTTATTGGATTTCCACTAAATTGTCTTTGCATGTTAAGGGAGCTCTTCTTAATTGTAAAAAGGAAAAATATCTGGACGAATCACAAGTCATTAGGATGGACTCGTCTTACTTATAATAAAAAGGTAAGAAAAGTGCATAAACTAATCACCCATGAGAATTTCGATCTATCCTTTTTACTTAACTTTTAGAATAGCCTTGAAATGAAATGAGAAAGAGGGAAAGACAGAAAAGCATATTAATGTTTACTTGTAAAACAGTACAGTTGAATTTGTTATGTGGTTTATCGGTAAACGAATTGATTTGATCCAAAATGATAAACAAATTATATTAAAAATAAGACTTAGCATTAAAATCAAAGGAAATAGCAAGCCTAGTTCCGAGAGCAATGCTTCCGAAGACAGCAGTATGAGCAATATTAGACAGAAAGTAAAGTTGTATTATTTTCTTAAGAATAAAATATAGCATAAGTTTTGCTAGAGATTTAGTATGCTACAATGGTTGTTGAAGTCCCTATTTATAGTTATACCTAGAAAACAAGATTCTAGGATCAAGCCCCTCTTAAATTACAATAATGGGGGTCATCGATGAATATGTAACGACAGGCCATTAATGCCAAAATTCTCTGCAATGGTTGCCTATTTAATACTGAGAAATATTCTTCATTAAATGTCATCTGGTGACAAACATTCGTTTGCTTTTGTTGACTGTGTTCCCTTCGGGATCAACCCGATACCAACCAAAGTTGTTGTCCTCAGTCTTCATTTTCACTTGATTCATCTTCCGTCTGCCTCCGGTTTCACGTGTCATGCAATCATTCGACCATTTAATATAAGCCAATTTTACTATATACAATAGTCCCCCTACTTTTTGGTGGCACATCTTTGTGTCATCAGGAAGTTGGTGAAGATTCCTTTCTTGGCAGAAAATTTTTGGAACCCTTCTAAGCAGTTTCTGGTGCTTGATAAGACGTACGTCCCCTCGCATTTAATACCCCAAACACATGTTACCCCACGATTTAGCAAATATTTTCGCCAGTTCTTGAGGTAATCATGACCACGATTTTAGCCATCTATACCTTTACTTTTATGCCTCATTCTTCTTCTTTCACTTCTAATAACCTCATAAGCTCTCTTACTCTCTTTGCACTTAACTTTTTTTTGTTTTCATCTCTCTCTCTCTCTCTGATCTTTTTTAAAAAACTTTATCATCTCCTTATCATTATGGTTTCTCCTAATAAATCTTCCAACTCCAGTCTTCTCTTCGGCGGAGGTCCGAGGAGAAGCAAAGATAAAGAAGTTAATACTGATGTTCCTCCCACGGTGATCACCATTAAACCTAAACATCTGAGCACCGCCTACGACTTCCAAGAGAAGTTCCCCACCTTAAATCCTCGAACTTGGGCTGTTGGGAAATATTTTTTTTCTATTCGCCCTTCCAGTATCCCTACTGTGAAGGAAGATTGTAAATGCGAAGACCTAAATATCATTGATCCTGATCTGGTGGAGCGGGTGACCTTCACCAAGAAGGGTTTTACATATGTTTATACATACCCCTTCACTTTGGGTCCATTCTCATTGAGCGGGGGACTTGACCCCGTGATCTTGGAATTCTGCCACCGGTATCAAGTCTGCTTGGCACAAGTATACCCTTCTGTGTGGCTAACACTGGCTAGTCTTCACCAGTTGTGCTTGGAAATGGGGGAGACCCTAACCCTGGCACACATGATGAACCTTTATTCTCCAAAATCTTCCGCGGGGGAGTGATAAATTTCACAAGCATGGCCATTATGCTTTGCTTTCCAGCATGGATAATGATAATGACCGTGGATGGATGGAGCGATTTTTCGTCATTTCCACTGGGGATAGTATCCCGGCCACAACCCCATCTTTTCCCGAATCATGGAAACGTTCAAGTAAGTTTATGATCTACTTTTTTCTCCGAAAAAGGCTATTTCATGTCATTGCTAATCCTTTTCCTTCCGTTATTTAAGCTACTCAGTGGACACCACCAAGGGTTGAAGTCCTGGACCGATGGATTCAGTAGATTCTGGAAATCACTACGCTAGAGACCCGTCGGTGAAAGAAGTTAGTCCCCAAATACGGTGGAAGGCCAAGAACCATGGTAAACTGATTCTTTTTATTTTTCTAGGTGCCACCAAGATGTATTAGGATTTGAGACAGCATTATTGGTGGAGAATAATGAAGAAAGATATAGTTGCATATGTGTCTCTGTTATTTAAATTGCCAGCAGGTGGAGTACGAGCATTAGAGGCCTAGAGGTTTGTTTCAGAGGCTTAAGATTCCTGAGCGGAAGTGGGAGTGCGTTACCATGGATTTCGTTGTTGGGCTCCCATGGACATTGAAGAAATTTGACGCAGTATGGGTCATTATGGATAGGTTGACCAAGTCAGCGCATTTCATTCTGGTGGCAGCTACCTATTTTTCAGAGCGGTTGGCTGGGATCTATATTGTTTGTCTGCACGGTGTGCCGGTGTCTATTATTTCTTATAGGGGCACATAGTTCACATCGCATTTCTGAAGGGCCGTACAATGTGAGTTAGGCACACGGGTTGAGTTGAGTACAATATTTCACCCCCCAGACGGACGGGCAGTCCAAGCGCACCATTCATATATTGGAAGATATGCTTCGTGCCTGTGTTATCGATTTTGGGGGTTCTTGGAATCAGTTCTTTCCGCTTGCAAAGTTTTCCTACAACAACAGCTACCAATCGAGTATTCATTTGGCTCCTTATGAGGCCTTATATGGGAGGCGATGTCATTCGACAGTTGGTTGGTTTGAGGCGGGAGAAGCTCTGTTGTTGGGTACTTATTTGGTTCAAGATGCCTTGGAAAAGGTCAAGATGATTTATGACTAGCTTCGTATGGCGCAGTCTAGGCAGAAGAGTTATGCCGATTGGAGAGTTTGTGATTTTGCATTCATGGTCGGAGAGAGGGTTTTGCTTCCAGGTTTCACCCATGAAGGTGTGATAAGGTTCAGGAAGAAGGTCAAGTTGAACCCTAGGTATTTCGAACCCTTTAAGATCCATGAGAGAGTTGCTAAGGTGGCCTACAAGCTTGCATTGCCACCTAGCCTATCAGTAGTCCACACAGTGTTCCATGTTTACATGCTCCGGAAGTATCATGGTGATCTGCCCCATGTATTAGATTTCAGCTCAGTCCAATTGGACAAGGATTTGACTTATGAGGATGAGTCGTTGGCCATTCTATCCTGGTAGGTCCGGAAGATGAGGTCTAAGAGTTATCCATCAGTTAGAGTGCATTGGAGAGGTCAGTCGATCGAGGCAGCTATGTGGGAGTACGAGTTCGATATGCGCAGTAGATACCCTTACCTTTTCACTAGTCCAGGTACCTTTCTATGTCCGTTCGAGGACGAACATTTATTTTAGAGGTAGAGAATGTGATGACCCGATAGGTAATTTTGAGTATTAGCCCTTAATTTCATATTCCAAGAGCTATGTTAGCTTCGTTTGATGTTTCTTGGTTTGCGTCGTGGTTTGTATCACTTTTTGAAAAGCTTTTATGTGAAAATTTGAAGGAAAAATAATTTTTGGCTTTAAAAATAACTTGAGTTGATCACACTTTTGTGAAAACAACCTCGGATCGGTGTTTTGACGATTCCGGTAGGTCTATATCATAATTTTGGACGTGGGCGTATATCCGAAATTGAAATTGGAGGTCCCTAAATTGATTTGACTCATTTTGCCGGAAACTAGTAGTTTGAAAGTTTGAAAATTTCTTAAGTTTGACTGTAAGTTGATTCCATAGCTAACGAGTTCGGATTTTGATGTTGAAACTTGGTATAGGCCAGTATCTCTATTTGAAACTTGTCTGCAAAATTTGGTACAATTTGAAATTGATTTGACATGATTCACACGCTTAGATGTGATTCTAGTTGTTCTTGAGTTTACTTTGATATTCATTTGTTTAGAGGGGTGATTTGTAGATTTAGGTGTTATTTTGGTATTTTTATTGCGCAA